ACCTAAAAAGCGGCATGCCGCTTGGGCTCAAGCTCTCTATTCAAAGACCGCCATCTGTACAGTTATTTCAAACAAGGGTACCTAGAGACCACAGGCACAGCATTTGATGGGACAGCAAATCTCTTGTTCCCTCACCCAAGATCTCAGCCCCACTACACAAAACAGGGCTGGGGAGGATTCTGTGGTCACCAGCAGTACCTAGAGGGAAAAATGAGGCAGACGCCCGACGATTATACAAATACTGTCAAGATCAATTCCAAGAGTTGTGTTGGTTCCCTTCCATTGTCACCGACAAAGTCTATGACTACAGAGCGAAAAGTGGTCAGGGATGGACTTCTTTTGGGGATTTGGTGGGCAAGGCCAGGGCGATAAGCATTGGTTGGAACAGAAAAAAGCGATCTTTGCACGCGGTGACCACCGGTGAGCCACGAGACCCAGTTCTCGATGAAGAGGCGGTCTGCAAATGGCGCGAGGCAAACCCAGTTGAAGACGAGGGGATGGTTGACATAGTACAGCAACGACTAGTGCCTTGGCGGAAGGGGTGGCACAGCGCGCCCAACAGTAGTTACAGCGGGGCCGTGTTCAACTCCCGGCTATCAGGTACATTTAGCATTCAACAGAGGTGATCAAGGACTTTCAGGAGGAAGAATCCTCGGATATCGAGATGAAGGAAGAGGATGAGGGGTCATTAGACGGAGGAATGTAGTGTAATACAAATGAACTACCTTTGTCACTTCGGAACTGTACAGATTGTGCAATGCACACTAATTATACCAATGAAGAAGTGGTAGTGTAGGCATCAGAGTTGTGGCGACATGTGATGACACTATGGTACTACTTTGACTGACCAAAAATCACTCTTGACCGCCTACCCACTGAGTAAGACATGGATCTCAGAGCCCCAAATTCTCATCATGCCCTTGAAGCCCTCTCTCACACCCAAGACTCCTTTTGTATCCTAATGGTGAGGATCTATGGGTGACATCTGGTGGCACAGTTTAAATTTGGAATTGATTCAAGATTTTGTGTGAGGATAATATGATATGGGGAGATTTTGTAAGCTCAAGAGAAAAGGTGGGCATGAGTACTGCTTGTACTGAAAAAACGAATGGCAAAAGTGCCAGCCCTGACTGAGATCCATGGGTGACAATTTGGCAGTATCTGGAATTAATTCGGAATTTTGTGTGTGAGGATAAGCCAATATGGGGAACTTTTTTAAGCTCGAGGGAAAAGATAGACATGAGTACTGCTCACACCGAAAAAATCAATGGCAAAAGTGCCAGCCCTGATTGAGATCCAGGGCCAACATTTTGGCGGCACACTTTAAATTTGGAATTAATTCAGAATTTGTGTGATAATCCAATTTGGGGAACTTTTGTAAGCTTGAGGGAAAAGATAGATATGAGTACTGCTCACACCGAAAAAACCAATGGCAAAAGTTCCAGCCCTGACTGAGATCCATGGGCAGCATTTTGGCAGCACAGTTTAAATTTAGAATTAATCCAGAATTTGTGTGATAACCCAATATGGGGAATTTTTGTAAGGTTGAGAGAAAAGGCAGGCATGAGTACTGCTTGTACTGAAAAAATGAATGGCAAAAGTGCCAGCCCTGACTTAGATCCATGGGTGACAATTTGGCAGTATTTGGAATTAATTCAGAATTTTTGTGTGTGAGGATAAGCCAATATGGGGAACTTTTGTAAGCTCAAGGCAAAAGATAGACATGAGTACTGCGTGTACTGAAAAAACTGATGGTAAAAGTGTCAGCCCTGATTGAGATCCATGGGCGCCAATTTGGCAACATTTGTAATTAATCCAGAATTTTGATGTGTGAGGATAATACAATATAGCTTGCAAAAGTTCCCTATATTGGATTATCCTCACACACAAAAATTCTTGAATAAATTCCAAATGCCACCAAATTGTTGCCCATGGATCTCAATCTGTGCTGGCACTTTTGCCATTGATTTTTTCGGTGTGAGCAGTACTCATGTCTATCTTTTTTGCATATGGCCATACCGCACAGTAGTGGGTGGCCCAAAGGTGCTTCTCATATCCATCCCACCTTTTTTTGGACAATATAAGGGGAGGTCCCATCTTATCTGCATCCCTGCGAATCCCTCACATTCCTGTCACGTGATATAATTACCGGAGGGCGGGGACGAATTTGTGCTGCCTCTCCATCCTTCCTCATCATGTTTCTACTCTTTCCTATTGTGTCCCTCTTCCTCTTCCCCTTCCCACTCCTCTGTCCATCCCAGTCCTTCATCCTTCCTCCCCTCGCGACGTCTCTCCTCCGCTTCACACTTCATTGATCTTCCTTCTTCAGCTAATTCAACCCTTACATTATTTTAGTCATCCTTCAGGTGCCTGTCATATATATATATATAAATGATTATCCCATCTCACTCAACCTCAGGTGGGAGTCCATCTTCGTATGGGGTAAACTTGCACCAAAATCACATTAGATGGTCCAGGGTCAGCTGTCTGAATGGTTCCGACAGGTACAAGCAACAGGCAGCCAGGCCAAACTTGCACTAAAATCACATGAGATGGTCCAGGGTGAGCTGTCTGAATGGTTCTGACAGGTACAAGCAACAGGCAGGCAGGCTAAACCCACACTAAAATCACATCAGATGGTCCAGGGTGAGCTGTCTAAATGGTTCCGACAGGTACAAGCAACAGGCAGGCAGACTAAACCCACACTAAAATCACATCAGATGGTCTAGGGTGAGGTGTCCGAATGGTTCTGACAGGTACAAACAGCATGCAGCCAGGCTAAACTTGCAGTAAAATCACATCAGATGATCCAGGGTGAGCTGTCCGAGTGGTTCCGACAAGTACAAGCAGCAGGCAGGCAGACTAAACACACACTAAAATCACATGAGATGGTCCAGGGTGAGCTGTCTGAATGGTTCCAACAGGTACAACCAGCAGGCAGACAGACTAAACTTGTGCTAAAATCACATTAGATGGTCCAGGGTGAGCTGTCTGAATGGTTCCGACAGGTAAAAAAACAGCAGGCAGCCAGGCTAAAATCACATCAGATGATCCAGGGTGAGCTGTCTGAATGGTTCCGCCAGGTACAAGTACCAGGCAGGCAAGCCAAACTTGCACTAAAATCACATCAGATGGTCCAGGGTGAGCTGTCTGAATGGTTCCGCAAGGTACAAGTACCAGGCAGGCAGACTAAACTCACACTAAAATCACATCAGATCGTCCAGGGTGAGCTTTCTGAATGGTTCTGACAGGTACACACAACAGGCAGCCAGACTAAAAATCACATGAGATGGTCCCGGGTGAGTTGTCTGAATAGTTCCGACAAGTACAAGCAACAGGCAGCCAGACTAAACTTGCACTAAAATCACATTACAGTCGAGTTCCTCATATGGAATAAGCTCATATGGAATACACAGCCAAATTCCGTGGTATGGAATGGCCCTTGGGCTTCTCCCAAATGGCCTTTTACCACTGTAGAATACATCTCATATGGAATATCTGCAGTATGGAATGGGGTTGGCCAACATTTTGGCTGGTCTCCCAACTTTGTTCCATATGAGGGATTCAACTGTAGATGGTCCAGGGTGAGTTGTCCAAACAGTTCTGACAGGGACAGACCAACCCTAAATTAGGGCAAATTGAATCCCAGGGACTGACCCTAGGGTCTGTGGTGTGTATTTTTCCCTTAATAACCTTGTACCCAGCTGTGGAAAGCAAAGGACCTTAACCAGAGTACCCAAAAAGCGCTCAGAAGTAGTGCTTTTGGGTACTGAAGCGGAGTATCTCGGGGTACTCCGATGTAGGTACAAATTTATAAAATAGCTCCTTACGTGGAGTACTCCACGTACTTCACACCGGGGGCAACCAGCGAGGCATGCGAACAGGACCAGTTGGTGGTCGGTTCTGGTTCTGCAAGGCTGATTTCTCCAGATAGTCCTCAATCACGGGGCGAGCTGAAAGAACTTGAGCCACAAGTCGAATGATTGAGTGCTGTACATTCATGCAGGTACACACTTAACACCCTTTCGCATTTTACGGTTCCTCTGTTATGCAGCTCCACATGGGTCTGACCTAGGGGACTTTTTCCATGGGCAGAACTCTGGCATGTTACATGTTATTGGATATAATGCCCAACATTCTGGGCAGCAAGCATTTCGATTTATTTCTGGTTCGAGTCCCTGCTGATAGATGGTCCTGATGTCCTTTGGGAGCTCAAGTGCAGGTGGTGTGCCATCTAGCCCTGCAGATTGGAGGACACCAAAGACAAGCCCAGGAACTGTAGCTAGAATGAACTGTAAAGCCTTTAGAACTGTGTTTGTGGTTTTTCAACTGAACCCAGCATGCAGATTGACCCAGGCCACAAGGAGGTAACATAATTTCTTCACTGGCAAAAGTGCTGTTGGACAGGTTTATCTAATCAAATACATATCCAATTCATGCTCAATGCTCACCCTTTTCGAAATCTGCAATAGATGGGAAGCGCAAGGTCGGTTCTGTTTCCTCTTCCATTGGTTCTGGTGGGGTACCCTGCCGTCAGATACTTTATTAGCACATCTGAGGTTCTAGGCGGTCCAGACCGCTAGAGGACTTAAATGATAGAGAACTCAAGTCCTTGCAACAAGGATTAAATGCAACACAAAACAAAATCCACCCAAGAGATTCAAACAGGCGATGTTCCGACTTTCGGCAGAAGGGAATAGAAGGGATTAACCGCTACACTAGGAAGACCATAGCTGAAGTTCTCAATCAGACTGTGATTAGTTTTTTTCCATGCTTTCATGCCCTTATGGTAAGTACTGCATATGTATTAACTCACTTGTCATATCCAGTCATCTTTCATCATGTTTTTGATACAGATTAATTTGTGGAAACAGATTAATCTCTGAATCATCTATGAATAGTGGTTTGGCCACAGGACCTGAAGAGGCAAAATAAAAAAAGCAAAGAAGGTTTAGGCCATTACAAGGCTAACATTGTATCTGTGTGTTCGATGTACTATATCCTTCCTGGTGTAGTGGTTATTGCCTTCGTCTTCTGCTGGCGAAAGGTTGGGAGGTCTGGTGTTCAAATCCCTTGGGTGGATTTGTTTTTGTCCTTGGACAAGACTTAACTTAAGTGCTTGGGGACTCAAGTGTTGCGGGACTTAAGTGTTGTGGGACTTAAGTTCCAGGGGGTGTGGTCCTCTCATGTACAGGTGAACCGCATGCGGGGCATAACTTAAGCTCAGCGGGACTTGAGTCTCGCTGTGGTTCAGACCGGCATTAACTTAAGTTGAGCTCCTTCAATTTCATCTGCCGTGATCTAGTTGCGGTGGCCAGATTTTCTCGTGCATCCTGACACTCATGCTCGGATCGGGTTGAGGTGGATACAGTTTTTCTGGGTTGCCGCAGACCATCTCGGAATTCAAACAGATGAGAGCAGCGGAGCAGATACAGATAACCATGAGTGTAGAGTCTAGAGACGGGGGATCATATTCGACATCTCTGCCTTTAAAGTCTATTGTGGTTTACTTGGATTCAGAAGCTCGACCGGAAACATCCATCAGTATCATGATTTTTTTTTTTATCAACTGCCGGACCGTTTGATGCCTTCCCGCGAGCCTTCCCACGAGCCTTCCCGCGGTGTCCCTCTGCAGCTTCCAGGCACATGTTGCCTTCCACGGGGTTTGCCCCCGGTGTAAGAGCCGGGCAGAATCGTATAAAGGAGAGGTATTTGAGCAGAAGTTATTCTGAAGAGGGGTAGGGACCCCCCTACAGACTATAATATATTTAAGCCCTGTATGAGGGTCCAAAATTCTCTAACCAAGATCTTCGCTCGATGGGGTCCTGACAGGTGTCGTGTCAGTGCGTTGGAGTTTGAGCTTAAACAATCGAAATAATGCTTATGGAAAGTCATCCAATTGAGCGGCATTAGCATTAATCGAATTATAGGTTTCGTAATCGGCAGGTAAACGGAGAGAATTACCAAAGGAGGTTTTCCTGATGTTTGCTGATGCCTCGGACTGAACGTTCTCGATTTTTGAAGATTCATGCGGTTCAACTCCGAGTCGACTTCTATCGACGCGGACCTTACAGTGATATATACATACAGAGTCAGCCTTTTTTCAGCGGTCGCTTCACACTCGCCTCACACGCCGCTTCCTGGTTTGTCCCATGAACGCGGATACCGAACAATCGATCTGTCAAAGATTCTCGTTGCTTGACGCCCTATTATTATCCAGCGTATCTTTCTCTATAAGCGCACGCCCCAGGATCTCGTCCGATTCTGCGTGTTTCCTCCCCATGTCTGAACCCACAGGCCTCGACTCTGAGGCCATATGTAACTCCGTCTTTGACTCATACAGCTGCGACTCACCACCAAAAGCTGCCGCCAAGAAGAACTGTACCACGAATGCGGGGGACGACGTTATCTCCTGCTATCCCACAGCTGACACAGTCGTTTTACAGGACGAATTCACCGCACTTGTCTGTACGTTAAGCCATGTAATTCGTGGGACCTCAATTAACGAGTAATTAGGGAATTCGAATCTTCCGGATTTCATTCAAACGGGACTCACTTTCATAACATTGCCAGAGACGACATCGCCGCACAGTGACCCGTTCGCATTTACTGCGGCGGCCACCGCGACCTTCACGAGTACTCCTCGACCAGAGAGTACATCGGGCTCAGCGACCGGTTCCGGCCCGCCTTCCGGTGACTCAACGGTGTCCCCGTCCTCGTTACCTGCAGCTGATATCGCGGGAGTGACTGTGGCATCATTTGTCGCCATCGTAATGGCCATTGCGACACTATTCATCATGCGCCGGCGCAGACGCAGGTTGGCTCGCAAGAAACGTACGTGCTGCTTCACCTCTGTTCTGTAAATCAGCCGCTTACCCAGGAATGTCGCAGAAATATCGGTTGATCCCTTGCCATATGCCGAGGGCACTTTCCCCAGGTCGAAAGCAGAGCTCAATGCTGAAATGCGCGCTGTCCAAGGCCGCCTACGAAGTCTCCGTTTCTCGAACGGCCAAACCTCGACGCAGGAACTAGTAGAAGAAGGGGAAGGACTGGGCAGCAACTCCGAGTTACATCGGCAAATAGCAATACTCACTGCAGAGGTTGAGCGTCTCAGATCATTGGGCGCAGAAGAGCCACCGCCCTATTCTTTACAGCCCGAGTAAATGCCATGTAATCGCGAGGCATTGATTGATTAAGCGCCGACTCGCCCTGGCATCCAGTGTTGGTCCTAAGGGCTAAGGCCTTAACAGCTCTAAGGCTTAGAGCTGCCTTAGAGTAAGCCTTAGAAGTTTTTTTTGGAATTTGGGTACCCTTAGAGGCCTTAGGGCAGTGAGCGGACCGAAAATCTGTGCGCTAATGACAGCTTGAATTGAAGCTACCGATCTTCGATCAATCACTCATTGAAAAATCTGATATTTTGCCACGTCTCCACTCCCGCAAATATGGCCAGCGATGGTGCATGGACTTCTAATCCGCTGGGCCAGAACTACTTTGACAAAGCTCGGTGCCACAGAATAGCAGTCACCGGAAGACCTACTGTAAAGCCTGTGTCCAGCACCATGTCAATCGCTTGAAGGAGAGTGGGGCGTCAAGCTGGTGGCCTTCCTACTGATTCCGCCACACACCTCGCAAATGACACCGTGGACTTTGACCTGGGTATGTAAATACTAAATCTGTAACTGTTGGCTGTTCCGTGCTCAGCAATATATTATCAGTGTGCGAAGCCGCTGGTTCCATATGTGGCGAGAAGACGGTCTGGATCACCCACATTTTGGGCTCCATAGACGGCAGGACACTTCCCTGTTCACACACATCAGTTGTTACAGCTAATTGCAGTACCGAAGGCGTGAACCAAAAAATCGTGTTTTGGGATACTTTCAATGAATTCCCGATATCTCAGTCAGTTCTTCACCGATTCACATAAAAACTAGATGGATCTAGGAATAGGCTACATACAACAGGGGGGATGTCGTATGTAGCCTATTCCTAGCTACGAGGAGGAAGAGCAATCTATGTCGGACGGAGCCTCGGGGAGGATGAGTGCATCGGCGCATGTCACCGACTACTTCATACGGGCGAGTCTCGGTTATGTGCTTATTCATATGCCTAGTTTACCATACCATGCATGTACATGCATCTCCCGTATATTACTTCGTGGCCCAACGCGTTCTGGACTTACCTGAGACCAAAGCGGCAAGTCGGAAGCTCCCTTGTAGCCACGCGGATTAGCAAGTCTGAGGAACACAAGCATTGCGTATCATATCCATTGCGTATCATATCATGCCACTCTCTCAAAATGTCGCCGCCCTCACAGCTTTACACCGCCGACGCCCATGTTTTACATAACATATCTATAGATTTATTTGTATTAAACCGGGAACAAGAATCGGTCGCTTTAAAGCTCAGACCAGAAACCATGATATCGGCCTGTCGGATACTGAAGCGGAAACTTGAAATATTGAAATCCTAATTGGCCGCATTTCTAAACCTGGTAGCGGGGCACCTTTTAGAGCAATAAATACAAGTCGCTCTGGCGACAGTATTCTCCAGGCCGATATTGCCACCGAGCCAATGCATATTGGCGGATGCTCCAGCCCGCTGGTGCATCCACAAACGTATCCACTGGTTGGCGTATTTAGTTCCTCCAACCCACGAGTTCCTCTTACAAGACCAAAGTAACAAAAGAAGAGATACAGCGTGACCCTGCGGATTCATTAGGCTAGACAAGGTCCCATCGCCGGCCACGTCGTTGCCAACCTTATTCTCCAGGAATTACCAAACCTAGGAAAGTCACCGTGTCAAAACTCAAACACATAGCCTTCACACACGCTGCCTCGGAATTCCCGATCAACGCCCGGCGTCCTTGCTCATTCGCGCGGTGAAAATGTGAGTAAAATTCAGGATGTACTTCCTGGCTTTGTAACCTAGATACGAGTTGCAACGGGCAAGCATAGGACCCATAATCCCGGTGACAGACCTGGTATTGGGGCACCCGGGCATTTATTCAAATCTGCTCGTGTTGCAACATACTATAATGTACTTCACTACATTACGACGTCATCTCACAAGAGCTAATGCTGGCCTGAGCAGTTAGCTAATAGGGATATAATGTGTCTCGAACCATTAGAAAGGCGCTGGACAACAATCCTGGTAAAGGGTTGAAGTGGGAAGTCGCTAATGGAGCAATCGCGGAAAGTGCCTTACCATCCTGGAAACAGATTGGGGCTACTGCACATCCCTGACTAAGGGCCTATTACGAGGGAACATCCTTCTGAACCAGAGGGATCATTTTGGGCATCATCTGACGTCTCCAGAACTGCCAAGAGAGGACTGGGCCTGGTCGATCTAACAAAATGACTAAGGAACTGTACTCGGGTACTAGGAAGCGGCGGCTATCACAATTTTCAGACAAATCACTTAAGCGGTTCAAGGCGGAACCAGTTGAGCGGACGGTTACCAAGGAGGGTGACAGAGTGCTGACGAGGAGGTCGGCTAAAAGTTGACATATCAACAATATCCCATCACAATCGTTCTAAGCGATGTAGATCTTGACTCATCGCTAAGCTCGGCTCGTTGATGTTTCTTACAAATCTCTCTCAATTTTACTAATCGTCTGATATCCGACAGGAGTTCATCGGCTAGCTGCTATACCACTAGTCATATACCCTGAACCCTATTGCACGTTTGTATCTGTCGTTTATATTTAGAATCCTGTAACGTATTTAAGTGGATGGTTATGGGAGGAACACCAGTGAATCTCACCCCACCTGTTGGACGCGAAGTTACTAGACTTCACGCTTAACCGGTAGAGTAGTCATTCATTCGGAGACACCCAGAAGCTATACCAAGTTTCGTTTGTTTTCCCTGTTTGAATATTATCTGTGTTGGATTTGGATCTTTATAAACGACGCGTGGACATATTGGATTAACGGAACGGACGCGTGGAATATAAGGAAACGGATCAGACTTGACAATTGGTTGTAATCTCGCAAGGATTAGCAATCGCGGATACTATTTGGAATCGGGATTCATAAGAATCACTTGCTTTACGCATCGGAGTATCATCTCCAAACCTAGACCCAC